ATCCAACTCATAGTGGCCCCTCCTTGGGTTTCCGAGGTGGTATCACTATGGAAGTAGATTGCCCAATCTTCCTTCTGAGGAGCGGCTGGTGGTGGGTTTGAACCACCAGCCTTCTGGTTAGCAGTCAAATACCTTAAGCACTATGCCACCAGAGCTCCCAGCGCAGGATCGAGCAGTGTTTTATTCTGTTGTACACCAATGTTGCTATGAGTTAGAGCTGACTCAATGGCACTGAACAACAACAAACAACAACATTCCTTATTCAGCATCACAAAATTCATTCTGGAGAAAAACATTATGAGTGCGATGAATGTGGAAAGGCCTTCAACCAGAGCACATACTTTATTCATCATCACAGAACACACACTGGAGAGAAACCTTATAAATGCAAAGAATGTGGGAAAGTTTTCAATGACACTTCATCCCTTACTAAGCATCAGAGGATTCATACTGGAGAAAAACGCCATGGACACAATGAGTGTGGGAAAGCCTTTGGTGACTGGCCAGGGCTTACACATCAGAGAATTCATACAAGGGAAAAGCTATATGGATGAAGTGAGTCTAGGAAAGCTTTCAGTTACTTTTCAGCTCTTACTCAACATCAAGGAACCCATACTGGGGAGAAACCTTACAAATGAAGTGAATGTGGGTTGACTTTGTAGATGTTTGTGAATAGATCTCAGTGACAAAGGTACTACAGTGACTGCTCAGGTCTTGTAAGACATCAGAGAATTCATACTGGAGAGAAGACTTACAAATATAAAGAATGCAAGAAAGCCTTCAGCTAGAGTTCATCCCTTACAAACGATTCGAGAACTCACACTGAGAAGAAATGCTATAAATGCAATGCTTGCGACAAACCCTTCAGCCGGAGTTCATCTCTTATTGTTAAACACCAGAAAATTCACAAAGAGGAAAAAACCACAAATGTAAGAAATGTGGGAAAATTTTCAGTGCTGTTTAACCTGTCATCAATATAATGAAATGACTTCTGAATAGAATAAAATAGAGTAGTGAAGTAATTTTCCCCATCTGATTGTACAGATCTTTTCTAAATATTACAGGGCATACAAAAATATATAATGCCGTGTTAGGCACAAAATAGTCCTCTTTCTTAAAATGTTATGTATGGAAGAGGACAAAAAGAGGCAAATGTTGATATCACCACTACTCAGAAGGAAGGTTGGGCAATCTACTTCCATAGTGATACTTCCTCGGAAATCCAAGGATGGGTCGCTATGAGTCAGATCTGACTTGACGGCAGTGAGTTTGTGTTTTTGTTTTTTTGTATTGGGAAGTGGACTTCTGAGAGAGGAAAAGAAATGTCAATGCATGAGGGCTTCAGTAAGGCAAAGAGGTTCTTAGGATAGGTCACAAGGGTTGTTGAGAATGGAACAGATGAAATTATAGAGTTTAAAACAGTTTTCATTGAAAGTGTAGCGAGAGTGAATGAAGAAGACCAGGGAGAATGCATATGGGTTGACTTAGTAGATGTTTATGAGTTGATCTCAGTTACAAAAGTACTATAGCTAAAGCAATGGAGAAGAGAAAGGAAAGTAGAAGAGAATTTCTAGAAGACCATAGAAGGAGAGTCTGCTTCAGTCAGGGAAACAGAGTAAGGCTCTGGACATCTGAAAATCAATAGAAAACCTAATCAGGGGAGGAGAATGATCATTACTTGAGGTTGGTGGTTTCAACCTGAAGCCTAAGTAGGGAGGATCAGTATCCCAAAGAGGCAAAGTAACTTTCCTAGGGAACTAAAAAGCTCAACATCGGTTTGTGTAATCATGTGCAAGAATAAGAGCAAAACTCTTACTTCAAAACTGTATTCAGTCCACTGCTATGCCAGGCACTGGGGAATGGAGTAATTTCTTTATAATATGGTCCCCACCTTAAGGGAGCTAAAAATGTGGTTTCATTGAAAACCTTCAGTAATATTCCAACATCAGATAATGTCCTGAAGTTGTCGTTGTTGTTTTCATGTGCTGTCGAGTCAGACCCGACTCATAGCAACCCCTCCTTGGGTTTCCTAGGCGGTATCACTACAGAAGTAAATTGTCCCATCTTCCTTCTGAGGAGTGGCTGGTGGGTTTGAACCGTCAGCCTTCTGGTTAGCAGTCAAGTGCCTTAGGCACTACGCTATCAGAGCTCCCAATCCCATTAATGGCAAATATAATTAATTACCCAGGGGTTGAGAGAGAAGGTAATGTTGGCTAAACTAAATTATACTTCTGTGGAGCTTCCAAGAAAGAGTCTCAAAAGCCCACACAGGAGTTCGCAGATCTTGTAAATATATCCTGACTATCTTACAACCTGTCAGTATCATGATACTGTCACATTAAGTGACTGGAATGGAGGTATATGTGTTGAGAGGGAATGATGAAATCCAGCACAATGTAGGCTATCTCTTTGTTGTTATTACATGCCCTGTGTTGTTGTTGTTGTTATGTGCCGTCAACTTGTCTCCAACTCGTAGTGACCTTATGTGCAACACTGCCCAGTCCTGTGCCAGCCTCATGATCCCTACAATACCTGAGCCCATCACTGCAGCCACCATGTCAATCCATCTTGTTGAGCGCCTTCCCCTCTTTTGTTGACCCTCCACTTTACCAAGCATGGCATCCTTCTCCAGAGAGTGATCCCATCTAGTCAGTTGCAATTCATCATGACCCTAAGTACAAGAGACTGAAACACTATCTGGTTCTGCACCATTCTTCAACTGTAGCTGTGTTTGAGCCCATTGAGTCAGCCACTGTGTCAGCCCATCTAATTGAGCATCCTTATTTTTTTCACTGACCCTCTAGTTTGCCAAGCATGTGTCTTCCACCAGGGACTGGTTCCTCCTGATAACATGTGAAACAAAATCTTGCCATCCGTGCTTCTTAGGAGAATTCTGGCTGTATTTCTTCCAAGACAGATTTGTTCATTCCTCTGGCAGTACACAGCATATTCAATGTTCTTCATGAACACTGTAATTCAAAGGCATCAATTATTCTTTGTTATTCCTTATTCATTCTCCAACTTTCACATACATATGAGGAGACTGAAAACACCACGGCTTGGTACATGATAGTCCTCAAAGCAAAATCTTTGTTCTTTAACACTTTAAAGATGTGTTTTGCAGCAGATTTGCCCAGTGCAATACATTGTCTGATTTCTTGACTGCTGCTTGCATGGGCATTGATTGTGGATCCAAGTAAAATGAAATCCCTGACAACTTCAATCTTTTCTGTTATCGTGATGTTGCTTATTGGTCCAGTTGTGATCTTTAGATGTTGTTGTTGTTGTTGTTGTTATGTGCCGTCGAGTCAGACCTGACTCATAGCGACCCAATGATATAGAATAATCTTAAAATCCTGCCAACACAGCCTAGACACTGTTTTAATGGCAAAGTCAATAGGCATTTATTACTCACAGAATCAACAGGTCAAGGATGACTAAAACATCATCCATCAGCAGTAGCCTAGGTTTCCTGAGGTTAGGCTCCTGTCCACAGGGTATTGTTGAATTGCATCCAAGCATACCCAGGTTCGTATATGGGGAAGAGAACACCAAATTCCTCTCTCCCAGGATGCCAAATAGCACATCCAGAGAACAGGTAGGGAAGAGGTAACAAAAATGGGTAATAGAAGATAAAAAGAGGTAATAAAAGTATAGGGCCCTTTGTAGGCAATGGACGTCCTTGTTCAGAGTGGATTAGATTTACTGGTGTCAAAGAACATCCCTTCTTCTTTCACTCCACTAAAATAGCTTAACAAGGTTTTGGGTTTCTTCAGAGGGCAATCGTATCCCCCTAAAGCAACACTTTGCTATTAGTAGCTATTATGTCCGTTAACAGCTGTGGAGACAGTGAGAGAGAGATAGCAAACTTGTGTACCCAGCAGCCCACTCCTTCAATTTCAACATCTTCCTAATACTCTTTGTTCATATCACTTCCGTAAGTCCAGTGACCTTCATGAATGTGTAGGTGGAGGTCAGCAGCTTCATGCTTATTAATCATCTTGATTTCTATGGTCTTAGTATACTTAGTAGTCACTGTTGTTGGGTCAATTCTGACTCATGGTGACCCCCATTGGGTTTCTGAGGCTATAAATCTTTACAGAAGTAAATTGCCCCATTTTCCGCCCATGGAGCAGCTGGTGGGTTTGAACCACTGACCTTCTAGTTAGCAGTCAAATGCCTTACAGACTATGCCACCAGAGCTCCTTTCATCTTAGTATAGCAGGATGAAATAAGTTAATACATGTAAAGGCACTAGAACACAGAAGACACTCAGTGAGTATCAGTTACATTTATCATCATTCCTGAGTCAGTGTTCAAGGAAAGTCGTAACATATTTAACAACTCCTGTGGCTAAGACAATTCAAGAGCAGGATGTTGAGGCCCATTTGCATAATGGATCACAGCCATGTTCTCCATCTGGCTGATGACCAGTTAAATAGGTCCTGTCTAAAATAGTCAACAGATAGCTCCTTGCTTGGCCAGGGCACTGGCTTCAACTATTTCTTCACCTCTTGGTAACTGTCATTAAAAAAGACACAGCACCAAGTGCCAGTAGGGTACAGACTCCTCCTATGAAGGCAACATATAATCTAAGGCCAACCAGCAGGAGTCTAGTCTCTTAAGGCACCAATGATATACTGTTGCATTATACTTTTTCTTCTCCTAGTGTATTAAAATATTTAATATGGTTTAAAGCTAAATTTATAATATTATATTATGAGGATAACTTAAGTAGAGGCAATATATAATAAAGCCACAGAGAGTGAGTGAAGATAATGGAATTGTTTTAATGTTTCTCTATTTAACAGGAAATACTCCTCCGAAGGAAAGTTGAACAATCTACTTCCGTAATGATGCCGCTTCAGAAACCCAAGGAGGGGTTGCTATGAGTCAGGTCCGACTTGACGGCACATAACAACAACAACATAAAGATGATATTGTAATCCACAGCCCACTACCCTGAGGAAGCAGGTTGTTGGGCCCGTGGGCTCAGGATCGTGGTCACGGGGATATAAAGCTCGATTAGCATAACATACTACACAAAAGCATTGTTCTACACCCTACTTTGGTGAGTAGTGAGTAGGGTCTTAAAAGCTTGCAAGTGGCCATCTAGGTGCAACAGTGGGTTTCTCCTTGTCTGGAGCAAAGAAGATCGAAGAAAATCAAAGATTCGTGGAAACAAGTAGTCCAAGGGACTGGCGTACCCTTTAGACCTCAGTCTATATGATCCTGAGACCAGAAGAACTAAGTGGTGACTGGCTGCCACTGTCAAATACTCAAAAAAGGGTTCAGTGTAGGAGATCCTGGATAGAGTGGAGAAAAATGTGGAACAAAAGTGAAAATCATAAAGAAGACCAGGCTTACTGGTCTGATAGAGACTATGGCCTCAGTCATCTTTCAGGCCTGAAACTGGACTCACTCCTGTGGCTTCCAGCCAAACAATAGACAGGTGTACAAGGTGAACATTTACACCAGGTAGGTACACTCCCTAGAACAGTCAACCATGGGATATGAGAAAGACAGTATTTGCACAGACAGATAGTTCAGAGGGAAGAAATGCATAAGAAAGAAAGACAGAGGGAAAAGATAACCAAAGGTAGGAAGTGGGAAGAGAGGTATTACATCATGGGGTTTACAGGCAATGTCATGAAACAAAATGTGATTGTTGTATGGAAAATGAATTTCCTCTGTAAACTTTCACTCAAATCACAATTTTTTAAAGAAAGAATGTTACCAGAAAATTCCAGGAAGAGTATTCTGAAAATGCTTGCACAGACTATTTTTT